AGAGGATTTTATTACTCGAGGATTACACCCATCGATCGCCTCAATGATTACAAGAAAGAACAATCTCTCTCTCTTTTCTCCTCTCTCCTCTCTCATCTCTCATCTCTCATCTCTCATCTCGAGAGCAACAGCCGAAGAAGAAGCCTGGGAAACGAAATCCCAAGAGGAAAACAGGGGGAGCTAGTATGTTTATTTATTAATTTCATCATGTCATTAGGTTCATTAAAGATATAATCAAATAATTAATGAAACTCATTAATTATTTTTTTTCCCTTATGCAGCAAATCATAGATATAATTAAGAGCAATTAACTTCGAGTATTAAATTCAATTTGCTTTCAAACATGAGAAAATGTCATATTGAACAGTTGACCGGTTTTCATATTCACAACACTAATTTACTTACATAACAAACAGAAATATTAAGATAGGATTCATGATAAGTTGGCCTTAAAAATCAGTTTATTTGCTCTGAGAGTAGAACCATATGTTTATATAGAAATTATATTGTTTTAATATCAAATCAAATACAATAATTTTGAGGCCCATTCTTATAATTATATATTTATACACATACAATCAATTCTTTGCAAAATATAAAAAAATTATGTTTTTCACACCATTACGTCGCAAGGGGGCTTGACAAGCATTTTTTTTTTCTCTTGAGGCTTTTACATACCGGTCACTCAATTCTTATGTATTAGCATATTAATCACCCAAACTTTAATTTTTACATACGGACCACCCTATTCCTATTGTTCCGTCGTAAGTTGGATGGCTTGTTAGTAAAATTGAAATTTGGGTGCTTGATATGTCAATATATAGGAATTGAATGGTAGGTATGTAAATCTCTCTTTTATCTTTAAAGGCAGATGGTTAGATGTCTTTTATCTCCTTTTAATGTTTGAAGTTCCTTCAGAGCTACCAATTCTGTTGATGATCTTCTAGCAGAAAGGTCTCTCCACTAGTTTCTCGCCTCTTTCATATTGTTGATGGTTTTGAGATTTTAAGTGAGGGGAGGGTATGAGAAGGAAGTTAATGAAGGACAAGTTTATATATATAAATAATACAAATTTTAAGTGTTACAAATGCAAAGCCCCCCACAATAGAAATGAAGAGATGCTGTGTGCTAGGCTCGCAGGAAAATTCTTGCTGTATGTAATAACTTTAGCTGCATTTGTGTGCGTTTGAAGAGTGTATTTCAGGTTTAGCACGCTCATGTTTATTTTTCTTTTTTTTCCAACAATTGAATCATAGTTTATTGACAAAGCAACTTTCGAATTTTTTAAAAGCCAAGGGGCTATTTTATTTGGAATCATTTTTTATTTTACTTTGATTTAGATCTGTTTGTTATCTTGACCAGGAAATATTTTTTAGTTTTACTGAATGTCATATAAATTGATTTATGATACTATTACAATGACACGAGTGAAGGGATATGGAGGAAGGTTGTATTTAGGGTGATGGTACATGAATTCAACTAATTTACGTCAGTCAAATCGAACGTAAATCAGACGATATTTGAGAATCATTATCGGATTTAAGTCAGATTTGCGTCTGCTTTTTCTCCAGAGTAATTTGGGGGTCGGTAATATTAATTTCATCAATTTTGCATTGAAATATTTTGACACGTAATTAGCATCGATTTTTGCATCGTCAGTGCGTTAGACTTGTTTGGACTATACATGCGTCGAATTTTGCATATGAAAATTTCAAATGATCAATAATATCGTCTGATAATCATTGAATTTGCGTTGGATCTAGTTTGATGGACAACGCGTCCGATTATTGGACTTAAAAGGAACACAAATCTAACACAAAACTCACACAAAGGAAAAAAAATTCAAATAATCAATTATATTTCTACAACCTGCACACAACATTCACTCCACATCAAAACAACATTATATATAACTATATCACAGATCAAAGCTCTTAAAATTATTAATACTAAAAAATGAGTGTCCCAAATTTAAAGTATCAAAAGTTTACATCTACACCCTGATCAATGTAAGTTCAAATATTTCTTAAATTAAAAATACATAAAAACTCCTCCTAATCGTTATGCTCATTTTCCTCCTCCTCATCCTCCTCCTCGACTGCAGTAATCATCGTTCGCTTGCTTCAACAATCTTCTAGAATCTTTGTCAAGCGTGCTATTCTCCAATCAATTCTCTATTGGCCTTCACGTAGATGTTGAACCTCCTTCGTCATAGCAGTGACCTGCGTGACAAGTGTTGACCTCAATCTTGGTGAGGTAGTTTCTTCCTCTTAGTGCTTAGAATCTAGCCACATGACTTTCCTTTTAACTATCCTAAAAAACTAGAGATGGAGCACACTTACAAAGAAATTCAAACCACTTCTATACTCTCTTTGAAACTCACATGAATGATCATGAACCTCCAGCGCTTGAAAGGTTGAGACCAACATGTGAGGATTCAGTGGATGAGTACCCATAGGACTACTTGGACTTAGGACAACCTTGAGTGGCTAGGGTTTTGTCTTTCACACACTCAAGCACATCACAATTCCCCACTTGTCCTAATACCCTAAAACTACTCTCATTGAACCTATTTCCCTTTACTCTTTAGAGAACTCACATGGATGGTCCCAAGCCTCTAGCCTTTGGTCAAGATGGCTGAGACCAACATATGAAGATTCATAAATGAGTTCTCATCTGGTGACTCATGGTTCCAAGGTGGCTAGGCATGATCAATCCCCATGACCAATACCCTAAGCCCTAAACCTGGCCTAAATTACCCAAATTTACCAAAATTCCTTAAAGTTCCCTAACTCCACCAAAATTTCACAAATCTACCCTGATACTTTTGAAATAATCTCAAACTTCCCAAAATTAACCTGATTTTACCCAAAAACCTCAAAATTACCAAAATGTCCTTCATACCCCAAAAAATTCCCAAAACCTCCAAATTCACACCAAACATCCTTAAGACCAATCTTAACCACTCAATGGCCTCAATTGCACCCAAATTTACCAAAACTGGTCAATTTTTTCAAATTACCCCTAAAGACCCAAATTTCCCAAATCACCCCCAATTTCCACCAAATTCATTTCAAATCTCTCCAATTTGAAATCTACATTAAATGGCATCATGGCCAAGGCCAATTGAAACTAAATCCAAGCCCATTTAATTTAGCCCATGATTAAAATCAATTTTCATGCATTTTAAAAGCCCATCTTCATATGCATATTAAAAAGCCTATT